ACTAACAGAGGGTGCCAAGAAAAACATTTTCGGGGGATTCAATTATGTTAGATGGTGTACAGACCTTCCACCCCTCCCAGAACCAGCCAAGCATACTATCGGCGACGGCACGGTTACCCTATCATACCATATTGGCACAGTCGAGTTGACGATGCCAACCACTACGAATGTGAACGTTCGAGTCCGTATCAAAGATGTCATTTACTCCCCTTCAACTCCAGCCAACTTGCTGTCAACCAAAGGCCTTCTGGAAAGCGGCTTAATTTGGGACGTGAAGACCAACCAGATTAACCTACAGAAGAATGCCATCCAGTGTAACTACGTCAATGAACTAGTGGTCTTGCCAGTTATCCAGCCTTACAATTTCGACCAATTAAGAACCGAGGCCAAGAACGTTTTGCTGGAATCTATGAACTATTTAACCATGCACAAGAGAATGATGCACGCAGGCAAAGAGCAGGTTATGAAGGCTTGCCAGGAAGCAGGCATTACTCTCAGCAACAACCACAATCACTTCTGTGATGGCTGTATGAGAGCAAAGGCTACAGATACAATGCTCAAGCACGCTCACACCGTCACAACGATTACTCCGGTGCAGTTTATTCGTGGAGACGTCATTCAGCACAACCACCCGAACCATCTAGGACAACGATACTGTGTCCACTTCATTTGTGAAGCCTCTGGTCATCACTGGGTTGACTTCTGTACAATCAAGGGCGAGGCTTTTACCAAACTGAAGCAGTTCAAGAAATGGATTGAGCTCCAGACAGGTCTTAAAGTCAAAGTCGTTGGACTCGACGGCGGACCAGAATGGAGGCTTCCAACCAAAGAGTTTCAGAATAGTCAACTATACAAATGGGCTAACGAGGAGGGCGTTCAGATCTACAAGACGACCGCCCACACCCCATGGATGAACGGTAAATCAGAAAGAGCTGGAGCAATCATTATGGAGCGCTCTAGAGCCCTCATGATCGACCTCAATATCCACCCCATCTCTGGTCCTTCGTTGTTCAAAGCGTTGTTATCGTAATGAGCCTGATGCCCTCAAAGGCCAAATCCAGAAGGCAAAAGTCCACATGAACTGCTCTGCAGAGCCATCCCCGGTTACCCTGAGAATGAAATCAAGCCATGGACCAGGCACTTGCGCAGTTATTTCTGTACCGCATACTACTACATCAAACCCCAGAACCGCACCAAAGGTGAGAAGTTGGAGGAACGAAGCCGCCCTGGTCGTCTGATCGGATATGCTGATGCCCATGGCCGTATTTACTGGATCTGGGACCCCGAGACTGGCCAGATTATTCGAGCCAGTGCCGTAAAGTTCGTTGAGAAAGACCAGTCAGAGTCCTCAGAAAAGGAAGCTCTCCAACATGCCGTCGTCTTTAGCGACCAGACCGTTCAAGAAATCAGGGACGTCACAGACAGCAGCATCCAGTACTGGATCACCGTTGCTGGCATAAAGCCACATGCCGTAGACTCCCCAGCTCCTTCGAACGTAGTCGAAAAATTCATTCATTCATTCATTCATTCATTCATTCATCCCCAGCTCGTTCGAAACAAATCACTAACAAGTTCAACCCCATTGCAGAGAAAGACGTGGTACTCGAGTTCCCACCGACTCACTACCTCACTCCATGGTAGAACTAGGTCGAAAAATTCATTCTTCTTCTTCTTCTACCTCACTCCAGAAGCCACGAGATCTCGAGAACCAGGACCATCGTCTCCAGAACCCCAACCAACAGTACCATTGCCTCCCGACCAACCAATGCGATCTATAGAACAAGAGGAGGACGGATCTATCGACCTCGATGACCTCAACGAGGAGAATCCTAGCCCAAACAATACGTTCGAAGACACTTGTGAAGACGCAGCAGAAGAGCCACCCGACTTACCTTTCGAGAAAGCAAGATTCGAACCCAAGTCTCCCAAATCTACACAATGAGAATCTCCAGACCCGCCTTCACTGGATCAATACCAACAACCGCTGGAGACACCAGCAAATGAATCAGCGCAGCCAGAGTTGACACAAGGCAGCCAACCCTCTGAGGAAGCCGCCACGGCACCTCCAGAGGTAAGCGNTGACCTCGAGTGCCATTCTACACAATCAGAATCTCCAGACCCACCTTCACTGGATCAATACCAACAA